TTCAGAGTGTAGAGGGCAATCTCTACTACCAGCTGCAGGAGCTGAGAGGGACTCTAGCAACTTGCATACTTAGGGAAGACAGATATCTTCCGAAGTCAAGCTGGAATAGGTCCAATGTGAATGGGGCAGAGGATGCCCTTCCAGAGATGTCTGTGGGGTGGGCGAGGCTGGAATTTATAGTGGTGCCATGCAGGTTGAGTCATTCTTTGAAAACTCTGGTACTGCTCTGAAATAGGAAATAGAATCTGCCTCATAACCTAAAATCCCAGCTTTGCTTTGACTGTCACTCACTTGAGGGACCTGGTGGATACTGGTTGCCTGTGGCCAGGCAATGCAGGGGATATCAGCCTGCCCTTTGGGACTTGTCACAAAATCCCCAAACTTCCCAAATACTAGTTCACAGGCTGAAACGGAACAGCCCACAGGGATCTCATCCCCCGATGCTTCATCTCATCTCGTCTCCAAAGGGAGGAGTTACATGGGGTGAAGTAGCCCTAGGTTGTATTTTAGAATCCATGCCTAAAAAATAATTTTGCTATCAGAAGATACCCGAGAGGAAGTCCATGGAGATTTCATCATCTGATTATAGCCACTTATGGGATTATATAGAAGACTTGACATGTGAGTTGCCCCCTAGCCACCTAGTTAATAAGAAAGGGGCCAAGAGAGAGCCTGAGGAAGAGAGCTGTAGAAGGAGATGACGGTCATGGGGGGCTATTAAGTCCCGCAGCCCTTGTCCCAGCAGGAGGCAGTCCCATGGTGGGCACAGATCTAGATACTTCTGGATCCTTCTGGACCCTCTGGATCCTCAGAAAGGCCCAATGAAGGGACTAGATCCCAACTATCCAGAAGCCTGAATCCAAAAGAGATCAACCATCTCCTTCCTAAATTTGGAATCCCCTTCCAGGTAGCACCTCTGATGATCCAATTAACAAAATATGATTATTTCATGTTGGTCTAAAGAAGTCAAATGGCATGGTTTTATAATTCCTACTTCTCCATTCACTTCCCTTTGTGGAAGTCATATTCATTCCAAGTTGATAGGGTGGGTGGGGTTGCTGGTGATATATGAGGCAGAAAGAGCTGGACTGGCTTTGGGATGGGAGAGGTGTGAGGCTATGATCAGGTCAAGGCTGTGGTTGCAAAGCCTCCTGAACGAGGTAGGGATGGGACCTTCCTGAAGCTACTGGGAGCAAAATGAGAGCTGGGGCAAGGAGTCCAAGCAGAGGGCAGGGATGGGCCCCTCACCTCTGAGGTTTCCACTCTTGTTGCTCTCAGCCCGGCCTCTCTCCTGGTCCCCTTATTCCTGGTTGTCTGTGTGTTGACAATGTGGAGATGGCCAGAGGGGAGCTGTCGTCCTGGCCTCTTGTATAATCCGATAATTGGCTGTAATCCGTGTATGAAATATTTGGAGATCTGCCTCCCCATTAACTCCTACTTGAAGAATAATCACATCTCCACGACAGGCCTTTGGGCCAAGTTCTCCCCTCAAGTCGCTAAAGCTCCTATCACGGCCTCAGCTCTATCAACATTTTTGTAATTGTCCACACTGTTTGTCACATTTTCAACTTACCATAAAGGTTTTAAAAATCCACGTACCATGGAAAGGCTCTCCACTGATGTCTTTGAGTCAACGTGGGAGTAAAATTCGGCCAGGCTGACAGAAAGGGGGTCTGTTCAGCATAGCAGGCATGTACTTGATGTGACCAGAAAAGGGTCTTGACAGGAATCCTGGGTGTAGGGATAAAATGTTGGGGCGGGGGTGAGGGGGTTGTGTTACAGGTGTGAAACTACAGCAATGCCTCTGGTTGTCATGGAAACAGCACTCAGAGGTTGTTTAGATGTGGGAGGGCAGGGTGGGAGGCCTGATACTCCTTCTAGGAGGGAGCAACAATGAGCCAAGGACAGGTATGTGTGTGAAGAGTCTGGTTTCAAGCTTCTGAGAGTTCAGCCTCTTCTCTGCAGGCTGGCCTCTGAGCGTTGCTCAGAATCGTCTGCTCTCGGGAGTGGAAAGCATTCAAGAAGAGGACAGAGAGAGTGAGAGTAAGAGGGGAGAGGCTCTCTTAGGTATTTCAGTGCTGGCTGGTGATGCCTGCACAAAGAAAGCCTTTCAATCCCTGAAGGGTTGTTTCCCAGGGCAGGGGAAGCAGCCTGATCAGGAATAGTCCCCGAGAGAGCAGAGTCAGGCCAGAATTTCATGTTAAGGGTGATACTCTGTGTTTGTGTTCAGTTATCCATTCAGGCAGGGCTGGTGGATGAGATACACAAGAGATTTTTGCGGGGAGTATCAAAAGGCCCTCTGTTCCCAAATATCCCTCCAGCCCCTGGCATGAGGCCTGACATCAGCTATTGAGTTCTGTGCCTTAGCTTCAGCACAGCCTCCTTGCTCTTCATGTCTGTTGCAAGACCTCTCCTAGGAGAGGAGTGGGGTAGTTTATCAAAGGTTTTGACAGGGCCAGAGCCTCAGGGAACCTGCTTTAGAGAGGAGATGCTGGGAGAAGGGGGCGGGGGATGGAGAGACAGGGAAGGTGGAACATTCCAAAGGCAAATTTTCTGACCCTTCCAATTTGTCCACACACTCACCAAGGCTTGATGGGCAGCTTGCATGCTGCCTGGGTGCCTTTTCCTGCAATTTCCTCCCTCTGCTCATTTCCACCTTGCTGGAGGCCTAATAGCCCAGAAAGTTGAAAGGTGAGTCTTCTGGAAGGAGGCTCTTGCTCTTGGGCATGTTTTAAGATCCGAAGTCCCAGGAGGTGATGAAAAGTGCTGCTCTGATGCCTTTCTCCCAATGTTCCTCTCTTTTTGCGCGACCCAAGGTGTTGATGGTAGGGGCAGGGGTTTAAGGGAACTCTCCTTACCTTCCCCTAGGTTTTGCTATGAACCTTAAATTGTTCTAACAAAAAGTCTTAATTCTAAAAAATTATATAAAATAACAAACTTTTTATTGGCACACAGCCACATCCACACAGTCCATGGCTGCTTTCCCTCTATAATGTATAGCTAAATTGTTGCAAGAGTCTATATGGCCTAAAATATTTATTATTGGCCCTTTATACAAAAAGCTGGCTCTAAGAACTGGAGGAATAAACAGTGGCTCATGGTCAGAATAGAGCACCACACGGCACCCACAGGGGTGAATCTCACATCTGTATACGTGTCTCCTCAGTATTTCTCTAAAATATCCACAATTAAGCTAAGACATTTTGGGGAAAAAAAAAAAAGAGAGGTTTCATAACCCACTCAGAGGCTGGCTGAGAAGAGGCAGATTTGAAGAGGTTGGATTTGAACTCAGTCTGTCTAAACTCAGAGATACAGTCTTAACCATCACTCTGTCTGCTTAATTTACTGGCATAGTTATTCAATATACAGTCTTTCTCTTTCTGCCCACCCAAGATTTTATAAATAAGAGTAGAGCTGAGTCCCTCAGTGTCAAGCAGTTCAATTCAACCATCTTTCAAGCCCTGAGTTTCTATTCATTCCTGAACAGGAGAGGACTCTCCTGGTCCAGGAATTCACTGAAATCCTGGTGGGGTCCATTAGGCCCCCTGGCAAATGGAATATGATAATATGCTCAAGTGTACTCCTGACACTCCAACAGGCCTGGTACTAAGACAGTGGCTTAGCATCATCAAAGGGTATGGACTCTATGTTGACCCTTTCAGATTTTGTGGAGTCACTCAAGACAGTTCCAGAAATTTTTGCCTTCTTGTTGAATAAGAATATCTCCCTTCTACCCTCACTGCTTCTTTCACTGTCAGTGGCACCCTCTAATTATTTCTATCATCCTTCCTCTCTCACAATAGTAGGGAACCAAGTGGGGAAGGGGTCTCCTGCAGGTTCAAGCAGACCCCAAGCATGGTTACACAGTGAAGCCTTCTTCCCCACACCCGACCTTCCAAGCCAGGACAGTGGGCCCAGAGCACAAAGTAGTCAGGATACCTGTGTCCTCACTGTCCCCAGCTGTAAATTCCTCTCACCTCCAGCAATGCCTTCCCTTTTGTGTGCTTTATCTGTCTTATCCATCCTTTGAGTTCCATTTGGAAGCCCACCTATTCCAGGAAGTCTGCCCAAGCCCCCAAGCCCCACGTTACAACTCCAGTGTTTGATAGCCAGTGTTCTCACCAGCTCCTGGGCCATGCTTTGCTAGTGACCCCCTTTTTTTTTTTTAATTTTTAGTATTTTATTTTATATAATTCTTATGTCATTTTTCATCTTTGTACAATGTATGCATTTTCATTTTGGTTATATTCCCCATACAATTGCACCTCCCCTTATTTTGACTCTAGTTCTTCCTCTCCCCGCCTCTCCTTAATCCCCTCCCCCCACAGTGTGTCTCTGGTTTATAGTTGCTTGTTGATTTTGATTATTACTTTGCTCAATAATGCATTTAAAATACATATGATTGGGCCTCCCCTGGTGGCACAGCGGTTAAGCGCTGGGTTGCAGAGCTGTCCTTAGCCTCTCCAGTGCTGGTTCGATCCCCAGCTGCTGATGATGGTGGCACATGGCTAGTGACCCTTTCACTTCTCTGATCTGTGTGTGATCTGTTGACCTGTTGATGTACGTGTTCAGGGTCTCTCTCATTTATACTTTCCCATGGCACCTAAAAGTGCCAGGCACAAATTAGGCATTTAATAAGTGTTTGTGAATAAATCAGTGAATGAACAAATGAAGCATGGTTGAAGAAACTTCTGGAATTGTGTTCCTAAGAAAGGAGAAAACCCCAAACTAGGTCAGATGAAACTGGCCCTCCACAACAGCCTGGTTTGGGGGGAGATCTCAAACCCACTCAGCATGATTGGAGGAGCAGCTAGCTTGGTTGTGACAAGGGAAGACAGAGGTAGGGCAGGGAAGAGAGGGAGGGCAGGAGAGAGAGAGACAGAGGGTGGGGTCCAGACTGCATGCCACTGGAGCCAGTAGTGAGGTTGCTGGGGGTAGGGGGGTGGCTTTGGCTTCACTCATCATATATTTATTTTTCTGTTTGTGCCCAATTGTCCTAGACGATGCTCCGTGCTGGTTAAGAAATATGAAAACAGCCAAAGAAGAAATAAAGCAAAAGAGAAAAACAAGGGAAAAAGAGGTAAACAAGACAGATCTCCTCACCTTTCATTGGTCTGCAAAGTCCTCAGTTGGGGATTGAAGTGAAGATACAAAAGCTTTGCGATGACATTGTGGAGGAAGCTATTAAAGCAATTAAGAAAAGATTAAGGTCACTGGTGGTGGCAGTGGTGTGTGTGTGTGTGTGTGTTTATGTGTAGGAAGGGAAGGAGAGAGAGAGGAGGGGTGGTGAGAGGCAGGGAGAGAGACCTATTAATCAATAGGCCAGAAATCTCAGAAGGCTACAAAATTCTAAGAGTGGGGAAACTGGGAATGCAAAGGCTCATCTCAAACCAAGGTGCCTGAGTAACTCAAAAGCAGAAACATTATATTCATTTTTCAGACTTGGGGTTGCTGGGGGAGGAGAAAAGAAGATGGTTTCTAAAGGAACCTTTTTTATTTTTTTTAATTGATTTTATTTAATATATTTTTTACATCATTTTTCATTTTTGCACAATGTATGCATTTTCGTCATGGTCATAGTCCCCATACAATTCCCACCCTCCTTGTTTTCATCCTACTCCCTTCCCCCCCACTGTATTGTGTCTCTGGTGTATAGTTGCTTGTTGATTTTGATTTTTACTTTATTATAATTAGTCTTTTTCCTGGTCCCTTACTTCGGTTTTCTAAATTCCTGCTATGAGTGAGACCATCTGGTATTTTTCTTTTTCTTTCTGGCTTATTTCGCTCCATCCATGTTGCTGCAAATTGCATGAGTTTATCTTTTTTGATTGCTGAGTAATATTCCATTGTGTATATGGATCACATCTTCTTGATCCAGTCATCTATTTTGGGGCATTTGGGTTGTTTCCATAGCTTAGCTATTGTAAATAGTGCTACTATAAACATAGGGGTGCAGGTGCCCTTTTGAATTAATGTTTCTGTGTCCTTTGGGTAAATACCTATGAGTGGAATTGCTGGATCATATGGCAGCTCCATCTTTAGCAGGTTGAGGAATCTCCACACAGCTTTCCAACCTTTCCTTTTTAATCAGCTAAGTGGGTATTCTAAGATGAGAGTGAGGTTACATTGATTTAAAGACAAATTCTAAAGCGTCATGGTTGAAAGAAAAATTTGCAATGCCTGCTGGGATGAAGAGAACAGCAGCAGAAATCTGTGTGATAATATTAGAATGGGTCTTAAAACTCCCTGGGAATCATTGTTCTGGAATACTTGTTTCCCCTTCCTGGGGAGCTCTTCTCTGTTCCTGTGACAGCTGACTTGGCTGTGTGACTAGCTTTGGTCAGTGAAACCTGTGCCACTTCCCAGCAGGACTTTTTTTTTTTTTTTTAGATTTATTTGTTTATTTATGCAAGCACTGGGTACAGTCAGAAGCGCGGGAGGGTGAGAGAATTCACCAGAGCCAGAGCGGGGAGCAGAGCAGGCAGAAGGACCGAAGTACACTGCTGAGGGGAGCAGCGGGCGGCAGGAGAGGTCTGCGCGCCATGTGGGACCCTCCTCTGGTGGCCGGAGAGCAGCCACGGACCGAACTGGTGCTGCAGAGGCTGCAGGCAGCTTTGCAACCCAGCGCTCAACCGCTGCGCCACCGGGGAGGCCCCCCAGCAGGACTTTTAAGAGGCAGCTCACAGTTTGTCATGTGCATTTTTCCCCTTTGCAACAATGACCAAGGAATCTTCTAGAAAGAGCCTATTTCTTCAGTCTTGGTCCCAAAGTAAAGTCAAGGTGGGGCAAAGTGCTAGACAGAGGGCATATATTAGGAGCAAGGGATAAATGTAGTTTTATACTACTGAGAAGGTGGGTGGGAGGGTGTTTGTTCCATGGACTATCCTGATTGATACATTTCTTGGCAACATGTTAGGGCAGCATGTCATTGGCTCCCTATTTTTAATAGGATAAATCTCAAACCCTTTGTTCTAACATCAAGTCCGCCCCCTCACCCCATCCACCATAGACTCTACCTTTCACTTCATGTACCCCATGATCTTCCTTGACTTCTTTCCTCTCTGTGTCCCACTCATACTTTTTTGAAAAGGGCAAGTTTTGGTAGAAAAGCTCTTCTTAGGTTAATTATTCTGAATTGTCCAGGCCTTTGATCATGCTCCCCCTGCTACCACGTCAATGAAACCATCCTACTCGCCCCTAGCTGAAAGCCATCTCTGCCCCACTGAAGCTGATGATCTGTACGTCAAACAACACATTTTTTATTTAACACATACATGTGGAGTACTTTCCAAATGCTAGTCGCAGTATTCATAGCTTTACATATATTAGTGCATTTTTAATTCTCACCCAACCCTAATAGTCCCATTTTACACATAAGGAAATGGAGGCAAAAAGAAGTGAAAAAACATTCTAAAAACTAGCAAATGCAAAATGGGGCTTTTTAACCCAGGTGCTCGGGCTGCCCACTCTGACGTCCCCAGCATGTGCCCCACATGCTCCTGCATCACCTGTCCTGTGATCTGACTCCTCTTCCCAATGAGACAGATGAGAGAGCCCAGGAAGGTAGGGGACTTCCAGGCCTCTTTGATCTTCCCATAGCTGGCCCCCTACTCCCTGCCAGAATCTGTTGTCAATTACAAAATCTCATGGGTCCCTTCATCCCATCCATATCTTTGCCTCCAGGTAGAACAGAAGCAAAGCCCCTGGAGAAAATTTCTTCCCTCAAGGCCTAGTACATGATAGGGGAAGCTTCCTAATATCTAGCTCAAGTCTCTCCTGCTTGCCCTACGGATTCATTTCCCTTTGTTTTAGGCTGCCATGAAGATGGACAGCAGATGAACAGCTCATAGTTACGATAATGACTATTATACCAGTAGATCATTATTTTATTAATTCCTTCCTTTTTTGAACTTTGCCTTGTTCCAAAAAGGACATCTGGTGACTATGGGGAACCACGGACTAAAACAGAGACTACACATGAAGAGTGAGAAGGGATAGCAGCATGTACTGTTAAATAAAAAAGCACCTTGAAGAATAATACAGTGTGAGCCATTTATCAAATTCACTCCAAAAATTCCTCCCATGAAATTCTATAAGCACAGATAAATATTTATTAGATTTTGAAAAACAATGATCAAAACCAAATTTCAGACGGTTGTTACTGCCAGGGCGGGGGTGGGGAGTAGTCCTAAGGGTGCCCCAGGGGTGCTTCAACCTTCTGCGTAGCATTTTCTCAAGGAAGCAATGCAGTTGTCAGTTGTCGGTTTTGCAGGGCCGCTATCAGGGATAAGTATCACATGTGATTTTCAGAGTTTTTAAGTCTTTTTCCAGAATTAAAAATATTTTTTAAAGATTTATTTATTTATGCATACAAGACCTGGGGTACAGGCCAGAGATGCGGGGGGAGGGAGGTGAGAGGATTCACCAGAGACAGAGTGGGAAACAGAACAGGAGGACTGACCAAAGTACACTGCTGAGGGGAGCAGCAGGTGAGACAGGAGAGGTCTGCTGCACCATGTGGGTATCTCCCTGGCCGGGCCGGGCATGGAACTCATGCTGCAGAGGTTGCGGATTGCTTCATAGTGCGGTGCTTAACCCCTTGCGCCACCAGGGAGGCCCAGTTTTAAATTTTTAATTGGCAATAGGGAGCTGGTCATTTTGCTCTAAGCTCCTAGAGGCCAATATAAAGAAAAGAGCCAGGTCAGTTATATAATTACAGTGTCACGAAAACTCAACGACTCTGGAGGAGCCCAGAACTGGTACTAAGAACCCTAGAAGCAATGGTGGCTCCAGAGTGTCTGTACTGGGGGTTTTGCAACTGGGGATTGGGGGTGGGGCATGGGAGCGAGGAGAGAAGAAGGATAGGGGAGGGGAGGGGAGGGCCTGACCAGGGGGAGGGGACTCTGCTTTGTGTGACTCTTACCTAAACTGGTCTGTGGGAGTGGCGCAGGGGGGGAATAGGGACATAATGAACATGGCACTTTCCATCAGCCAGTACTAGGCTTTATCTTTTTCGTTTTTAATTTCTTCTTTTATTTTAATTGAGGTTACTTTAGCTTACAACCTTGTTGGTGTTTTAGAGCTATAGGATCTTTTCCCTCAGGCATTGCCCCCACACCACACCCACCACCAGAGCACCCCTCTTCCACCCCAGTCCATTGTGCTGCCACCCCACCCTGTTCTGTCCCCTCTCCTTCCTGCTCTGATGGACTCAGTTTTACACTTAGATTTCTAGGGTTTGTTATTCACTCCACTTTATCTGACCCTTTGTTTTGTTTCTCTACATCCTATATACTAACACAGAAAGGCCCAGCTTGTAAATCTGTTCTTTTAGCCCCTGCCTGCTGCAGGGCAGACCTCCAGCTCTCTGCCATCCTGGCCTGGCTCAGGGGTGGCTTTTCAAGGGCCCTGTGCCCTTGGCTGAGCTGTGACACACACCACAGGTCAGGTGTGGGTCGCATAGCCCGGGCCTGGCAATGTCACCAAGGTCTTCCCCTCCTGAGGATAAAGCTGGGAGCAGGCTTGTCCCCTGTGGAAGCTGAGGAGACTGGGGACTTACCTCTGCAGATGGCCAGCCCTCCTCCTCTGGAGGTGAGCCTGGGACTCACTGCTCTGCCAGGATTTTCCTCAGAAAGTGTTAGACATAGCTGTAACACACGAGCGCACAGCAGCACAGGCACCAGGGCGACTCCAGGTGGTGTGCCCAGCAGAGTTGCTGAAAAACCTTGAAGGCACAAGTAACCAGATATCCACCCCCCACCCACCCTGCCAAAAAAGAATTCAAGAATGTTTGCCCAGACTGCCACACTTCCTGGTGTGTCCCTTGGATGCACTGCCTGGGAAATGAACTTCTCTAGAACCCCACAAAGGGTGAAGCTGATATTTTATAATCAGTTAATGTGGCTTTCCTTAGGGCAATAATTAGCAAAGAGAACCAATTGCCTGTTCAGGCCTTTCCAGAATACTTACTCCCTAGTCATACTTTGGGGCAAGAGTTCTAGAGCCAGCACCCAGCACCGTCACTAAGGAGGTGACACGTTGCTTCAGTCTGCTAAGCACCAACATTTGTGCCAATAAAGG